TAAAAATTGGGTTCTTTTGTTTTGTTCTTTGTGGTACTTGGGATTGAACCCAAGATCTTATACCTCCTAGACAAGCACACCAAGCTACATCCCCAGCCCTTTTTTTATTTTTATTTTTTAATGGTCTGAATTTCCCAGGCTAGCCTTAAACTTGCAATCCTGCTGCCTCAGCCTCCCAAGTTGCTAGGATTACAGGTGATGCACCACCATACCTGACACAAAAACTGTTCTATTGGCTGGGTGTTATGCTGCATATCAACAATACCAGCAGATCCAGAAACTGAAGCAAGAGAATTGAAAGTTCAAAGCCAGCCTCAGAATTTTATCGAGGCGCTAAGCAACTCAGTGAGACCCTGTCTCTAAATAAAAATAGGGCTGGGGACATGGCTCAGTGGTTAAATGTCCCTGAATTCAATACTCAGTACACCACCACCCTCCCCCCCAAAAAAAAAAATTGGCCTTAGCAACTTAGCAAGACTCTGTCAAAATGAAAATAACTGAGGATGTAGCTCATCCTCAGTACAGTTTCTCTGGTATTGTGGGGAGGGGGAAGACTGGAATTTTAAGATTGAGGATCTAAGAGACCTATAGAGTGAAAGTCATAAGTAAATAAGTGCAAAGACTAGGCCAACCTTCAATAAGTATCTACTCTTAGAAAGGAGAAATACATAATAGAAAATAGAATATCATCTTCTCAAATAGGAATCTCTTGAAGAAAAGCTCAATACCCTATTTCCTTTGTTTCTTTGTTGCATAATTTAATAAATTTGTGTGTTTGTATGGGAAATAAAATCGTAACACTGATATTCTTTTTTTTATAGGATGAGGATGAGGAAGTATACAAGAGAGATTTTAGTGCACCAACCCTGGAGGATCATTTCAACAAAACCATTCTTCCTAAAGTCATGCAGGTATGGGGACTCTTTGTCAACATAAAAAGAAAAAGTAATGTACTGAGGGCTGGAGCTGGGTCTTAAGTGTTCAGTGATATAACTCATCATCAATCCTTCCCTTAGGTCAAAAATTTTGGACGTTCTGGTCGTACCAAATATACCCACCTTGTGGATCAAGATACCACCTCCTTTGACTCAGCATGGGGCCAAGAGAGTGCCCAGAATACAAAGTTCTTTAAACAAAAGGCAGCTGGAGTACGAGATGTGTTTGAGCGACCATCTGCCAAGAAGCGGAAAACAACCTAGGATTCAACTATTTATTCTAACTGTGGGACACAAGGAGATGTCTCAGCATCTGGTCCTTGACATTATTTTACCATTATTACGTGGTTCTTACATCCACCTTACTGGACTTACCTATTACTGGGTAGTCCAGTCCTTGAAGGTGCTTTGTGAGGTTTGGACTTAAGACTAAGAAACCCACAGAAAAGCACTATCCAGGTAGGAATAGAAGCTGCCCACTTAACAGTTTCTGAGAAATCTTAGGTGTCTCTGCTGTGGCTTCCCATATTTACTTGGGAGTATTCAGTTTTCTTCCATCCATCCACTTAGCTTGTGTTAGAAATGTGGGTGTATTAAGTGGAAAATGCAATACTTCTACCTTAGGGTTAGGAGTACTATACCAGGAAATCTAAGCTCATTGAAACCTGTTTTGCATTTTTGGTTGAAGGCAACTTTTCTAAATGAATATACTTTTTATCCTTTTGTGTATGTCAAGAAATAAAAGATATACCCCAGAATTTTTAGCATAATACTGGAGAATAAAATATGCAAACTAACAAGTATTAACTACCTATTAACTAAAATAAAAGCAGGGAATTGTCAAGCAGAGGATATTTTAGTTTGATCATCCCCTTTAACCTCAGAAACAAACTCAGATCTAGGATTAGGTATTCAGTAGCATCCAGATTTATTCATGTGTAAACACAGATATTTGATTTTCCTTCCTCTGAACTACAGCTGTACATAGAACAAAAATTAACTCATGAAATAGGGCATGTGTCTTATTGAGTCCAAATACCTACTATCATCTTGTTCTTTGTAGGATGGGGTGCAATCCTGAGTAGCAATCCAGGACCATCCATCATACTAATTGCCATGCGCTTAGCAAAGTACCAAGAATTCTGAGGGTTTAAGAAATGAAATTTTACCAGTGGAAAAACTAAAAAAAAAAAAAAAAAAATGATGAAGGGCATGGGGATGTGTACCTCAGTGACAGAACACTTATCTAGCATGTGTGAAGCCCTGGGCTTAATCCCCAGCACCACAATAAAGGCAGACTGAGCCAGGTGCAGGGCTGCATGCCTGTGGTCTGTTACTAAGGAGGCTGAGGCCAGTAAGGAAGATTGCTTGAACCCCCTAGGCATCATAGTGGGACCCTCATCTCAAAAAAAAAAAAATCTTTTCACATTCTTAAAATGTCTCACTGGAAGAATTACTCTGCTCAGGCTGAGGCAGGATGATCATGAATTCAAAGCCAGCAAAATTAAACCCTGCCTCTAAATAAAATATTAAAAAATGGGCTGAGGATGTGGCTCAATGGTTAAGTGCCCCTGGGTTCAATCCCTGGTATTAAAAAAAGTGCAAATATGAGTTACTAAACGTGAGCCTAAATATCAAGTTACTATTTGGAATATAACCTATAAACTGTCCTAGAACCAAAATGAAAAAGGGCCTTGAAATTCTTTTGGGAAAGCACAGTTGCCACTTGTGTGTCCACTCTGAGGCAGGAACCAGTCAAAGTTTTTACATTTACCAGTTCATCAGTTCTTACAACAGCCTATAAGGTAGTATTTACAGTTGAGAAAACAAGTTTAGCAACTGTGACTTGGCCAAAATTCTTGAACTTTTCTAGAAATGCAATGTCAGGGATGGGGATATAACTCAGTTGGTAGAGTGCTTGCCTCGCATGCACAAGGCCCTGAGTTCAATCCACAGTACCACAAAGAAAAAAAGAAAATGAGAAATCTTTTTTTTTTTTTTTTTTATATTTTTTTTTTATTTATTTTTTAGTTCTCGGCGGACACAACATCTTTGTTGGTATGTGGTGCTGAGGATCGAACCTGGGCCGCATGCATCCCAGGCGAGCGCGCTACAGCTTGAACCACATCCCCAGCCCCCAAAAATGAGAAATCTTATAGTTCAGAATTCAAATCCTTCACAGATCAATTCTATATAAGGCCTCCCTGCCCCTCACATAATTAAATCTTAAAATAACCTTATTAGTTGTCTACTCTTCCCACATTCACACCTTAGATATTTAAAATTCCAACTCCAGAGGCCTATACACTCCTAGCCATACAGTGGCTCCTAGGATGTGCCTGTCCTTCCTAACTATTCATAAGCTATCCTGGAGACATGTGACTTTGGGTACACTAACTCTGCTGAGACTCCAAATGTACTCTGAATACTGCTGAGGGTCAGTCAGGTTCATTAAGTGTTCTGGAGGGGGCTGGGGGTATAGCTCAGTTGGTACAGTGCTTGCCTCACATGCACAAATCCCTGGGTCCAATTCCTACCCAACACTACCAAAAAAAAGTCTTCTGGAAGGAGGGATCGCTTTAATTCCATATTCTCCATCATAAGTTCCCTACAACAAAAACTATATATAAATACACTTGATCCAAGATGACAAAACTGCAAAAAAAAAGTCTTTATTGCAATAAGTTAATCCTGTAAATATGCCTGAAAAAGTACATATCAGTTGGTCAGAGCAATAAGAGCCTCCACAACGTTTCCCATGTGTTCCCGCAAGCTCCTCTCTGCTGCTGCTCGAGAAATCTCCATCTCTGTCATCTGCAGGAAAAGGATAAATTACGTGTTGACTAGGTCTTCCCAGAGACATCAATGTGCCATTAAACTTGACTCCACTTATTTCAGGAAACAACCCAAATTAAGCAGAACCTCCCCTGCCCATACACTAGTTTGGCATTACTACTCACTATCAACTCCAGATCTTCTTTCTTGATAGTGACCTTTGCCAGTTCCTTCTCCCTGAAAATATTCATGTACATTAGTCCTCATTCTCTACCTCAACCATAAACTCCTAGGAACCCAGGTTGTAAACCCTCTATCTGCAGGAACTGGTGAAGAGAGTTGAAAAGACGGCACAAAGGCTTAACTGTGGTTTTATTTTTGTTGGGGGCATAAGTAGCAACTGGTAAGAATGGCTTCGCACTTAAGACTTACCGTTCTTGTTTGGCTTTCTGCTCCCGAGACCTTCTATCTCCGATCACGGACATAGCCTATAGGAAAGCATAGAGGATAGGAACCGCTCAGCACAACCGCCACAAGGCTATACATGTTTTTCTTCCACGAAGAAGTGCTGCCAGGTGCTGTTTAATTCAATTCTGTGCACCTGAGGGAGGCCCAATTTCTATCAAGTTCTTTTGAGCAAACGGAGGACTTCCTAGGTGAGTTGCCAATTAATCCAGGTCCCTATGCATGCTAGCAAAGCACTCTATCAACGAGCTATATTCCCAGCTGGAACGCAGGCTTCTACCTACAGGGGTCCCTCTGCTCAAACCACCCGGACACACTCCCGGTCAACCTTACCGTCTCCAGATTGGAACTCTGGATCTCCTTCTCCTCCGCATAGTCGGTGACCCGCTCCAGGTCCGCCGCACCACTGTCATGCTTCCGTGGCTTCTCGGGGGGCCGTTCGGGGCCGCTGGTCTCGGTTTCCAACTCCAGTTCCACGTCCCCCTCGGTCGCCATGTTGATCTCACCGCACCGCCGCGGAGCCCGGCTTCATGATAACATCCGGTGACCGCAACTTCCGCCCAGCCAAGGGGCGGGTCCTACGCTGGACCACACCCTCTTCATAACCCCAGTTCTAGAAGCTTCAGCGAGGAAAGGAATTCGTCTCACAGACTTCCTTTCGGGTTTGTACAGTATTTCCGGCAAGGCTTTCTTTTAGACCTAATCTGTCACCACTCCAGGCCACCCCGGTTGACATCCTTCCCTCTTCATTATCTAGGAATAATCCCCCCACTGCACACCAGGAACTGTGTCCAACCAGGATGGAAGATGTCTAATCCTAACCCTATTAAGGATGCTAATCCCCAGGAAGCTACTCCCTAATCTAGGTAAAACAGTCTGAGTGGCCTTAGGTGTGAGGCCCTGAGAAGAAAGCACCTTCACAAGGGCATTTCTATTTACCACTTTCTGGAGATTTGTGTTCTTTTCCTGATGTCCCCATTGGTCTTTGGACTAGGCGACCAGCCCCAGCAAAGCAACAGTCCAATGGGCTGAAGTCCGAAGAAGCTGCTACTTTCTCATCTACTCTCCATCTGGTGGACCTAGGCCTAATCCCTGGGACAAAGATGGTGGGTGCAAAGTCCACCATAGGTCCCAGCACCTCCGTGGGCCTAGCACAGCAGCACAGTGGAGTCATAGTGAAAACCCCCTTCTGTCAGGTGAGAGGGTGAATGGGCTCATAGGCTTGATTTTTATTTATTTTCTTTGGTACCAAGGATTGAACTCAGGGGCACTTAACCCAGTCCTTTCTTTATTTTTGAGACACAAAGTTGCTCAGGGTCTAAACTGCTGAATCCTTGATCTTGTGATCTCCTGTGATCCTCCTGCCGCAGTCTCTCAGACTGTTGGGATTATAGGAATGCACCACCACCACACCCAATATGGGCACGTAGGCTTGAAAACTCCCTTAAGCAAGGACTATCTGAAAAATTGAAAGCATAGGATGGCTGAAGCTGGGTTGGAAAACCTGTAGAAGCCAATAAAGATAGACATTCTTTTCTTCTCTATAATCTCTATTCTTTGCCTCAGTAATTGGCAAACCTTTTTTCCCATGTTCTCAGCCCCAGTTGTTTTAGGTCTAGGGAAAGGTCAGTAGCTTAAGCCTGCACACAAGCTCTGTGATGAAAGCCTTACTGGTGGTCATTGGAAGACAATCCTAAATAGCTCAGAATCAAATTGAGAATTCCTATGCAAAAGGAAGGGAAGGGAAATTTTTGGATTTCAACCTCATGGGTTAATTCACATACACATTTATGTTTGCCTTTCCTCAGCAAATCACCTTGTTGCCCTGTATCTGGTCTATCCCCAGATGTCCTGCTGTGGCACTGTTCCTTGTACCAGCGGCTGCCACTCTAGGAGGCCCTCTCTCACAGAGTCTACTTGTAGCCGCCTGTTCTACATCCTCCTTCATGTAGGGGCCTCAGCAGTTTGCTGCCTCCTGCTGTCAAGGACAGTGGTGGAAAGGGTCTGGGGTGAGGCACATGGGGTAAGTGGAAGGTGGTAGGTTGCAAGGTGGGAAGATATGAGAAATGCTGAAATAGACAAAATTTGGATTGGAGGCAGGGAGCAAAGCAGTGGAGATACCAGTGAGAACTAGGTACCTAGCTTGAATTGATTTGCGGTGCTATTTCTCACACTCCTTTCAGATCCAGATGCCCTCGGGGTTGTGTTCCCACCTGTTTGGTCATTCTGCCTGTCCAGTGCTCAGTGGCTCTGGGGCTGTGTATCGAATATGTGCAGGAACTGCCACCTTCCACCTGCTACAGGCTGTGCTACTGGTCCACCTCCACTCCCCTACCAGCCCACGGGCGCAGCTGCATAACAGGTTTGTGTGTACTTTTGGGGCAGGGAGGGGACAGAAGAGGAAAGTAGATACAAGGTGGGTAAAGGAAATTCCTGGATGAATAACACTGTAAAAATAGAAAAACCAGGTTTAAGTCCCTGCTTCCACTGTTCTTGCTGTGTGACCATAAGCCAGATACTTATCCTCTTTTGAGTCTCTCATGTGGAGATAACAACGAGGGTACTGTATGCAAACCATTTGTAAAGTATAAAACATTGCCTAGATGTTATTAGGTGACTTTGAATTCAAATTTAAAGGGCAGTGGGCCTGTTCCCTCCCTTCCTTTACTTATACTTTCCATATTTTTGCTTTATTTCCCATTAGGCACTATTCACTCTCCTTTATTTTTTCTAAGTCTGGTTTTCTCTCTCCCTCCTAACCAGCTTCTGGTTCCTCAAGGTGCTGTTCCTGTTAGGTCTCTGTGCTGCTGCCTTCTGCATCCCTGATGAGCATCTCCTCCCAGGTATACCATCTCACACCCCAATCAGCAATAGGCTAAAGGCTAACATGAAGAGTGGGTAGGAAGAGAAGCAGTGATATATATGACCAGCTACATTCTCTCACTGGTGTCCATCTTGCAGCCTGGCATTATATTGGCATCTGTGGAGGCTTCACATTCATCCTACTACAGTTGGTGCTTATTACAGCCTTTGCCCACTCCTGGAACAAGAACTGGTATGGGGGCACATAACCCTAAAGGCTCTTTCTGGAAAGGCTGTCTGGCATTACTGAATTCCAAAAGGCTGAGCAAACTATTAGGGGAGGGCAAGTGGATGGGGGAGGGGCAAAAGAAGACAGCAGAGAGGGGAGACACAAATCAAACCACATGTATGAAAATGTAAAAATGAATCCCGTTAATTTGTACAATTAACATGCATTAATTTTTTTTTTCTTTTTTGCAGTACTGAGGATCTAGCCCAGGGTTGCTCTACCACTGAGCTACACCCACAACCCTTTCTGATTGTGTCTTGTTAAGACACCCAGGCTAGCCTGGAAGTTACAACCTTCCTGCCTCAGCCTCCCAAGTAGGGGGAGAGGGGTAGTTGGGATTACAGGCATGAACAACTTAAAATACACTAGTCCTAACAATAAAAGGCTGGGTAAAGGACATAACAGATCACTGGGCTTCCCAATAAGCAGTATCAAAAACTCAAGAATGTCCTGGTGCAGTAGTATACACCTGGGCAGACTGAGCAGGAACATCACAAATTCAAAAGCCAGCCTCAGCAATTTAGCAAGGTACTAAGCAACTCAGTAAGATCCTGACTCAAAAAATGAAAAGGATTGGGGATGTGGTTCAGTGGTTGAGTGTCCTTGGATTCAATCCCCAGTACAAAAAAATAAATTTAACTAAAGAGTGTGATGACTCTGGATGGGATGAGTAATCACACCAGTCTTCTGCAAGAAGGGGAAAAGTAATGGGTAAAAACAAAAGTTGGAGCTCTAAACCATTGCCCACCTCCCCCTCCTTAGGCAGACAGGTGCAGCCCAAGACTGCAGCTGGTTCCTAGCTGTGCTGCTGACTACCCTAGGATTCTACAGCATGGCGGGGTTGGGAGCTATGCTCCTATTCCAACACTACACACACCCAGCTGGTTGCCTTCTTAACAAGATGCTGCTTAGTATGCACCTTTGCTTCTGTGGCCTCCTCTCCTTCCTCTCCATCGCTCCTTGCATCCGCCTCAGTGGGTATATGCCCTACAACATTCCAGATTTGGGGGCAGGGTGGCATGTTCTTCCAGTATTCTACCAAATTCCTTAGCCTTCCTAAAAGATTCCTAAAAGGAATCTCCTTCCCTCCAGTTATGGGAGAAAGAAGTGGATGTGGGGGTAGGAGTTAAGAAAATTACAATCCTGTAGACTAATGCAATATCTATTCTCCTCAGAGCAACCCCGCTCTGGCCTTCTACAAGCCTCTATCATCAGCTGCTATATCATGTATCTGACCTTCTCTGCACTGTCCAGCCGTCCTCCAGAGAGAGGTAAGGTCCTGTAGACCAGGACAACCAGTGCTTAAAACTTTTTTTGCTCCTGCCAAATACCACCTCTTTGTTCTTAACACCTTTCTCTTCTGTTACCCTTCTTCAGTAATCCTTCAAGGACAGAATCTCACCCTGTGCCTGCCTGGCCTGAATAAAATGGAACCCCCAATATCAGATACCTCACTAGCAGTGTTGAGCGCTGGCATTATGTATGCTTGTGTGCTTTTTGCTTGGTGCGTAAAGGTGTGAAGGGGAAAAAATGATCAGAGGGAGAATGCCCAGGACAAGGGAAGAGAGTCAGGAGAATGTCTAGAACCATGGTTTATTTAAACTTTATAGCAAGGCTAGAATGAGAAAAGCTCCCCATGAACAGGGACAGTTTCTAAGAATAGCACTGTCAGATGATCTTTATGAGATGAAGGGGGTGGGGTGGGGGGTGACTTGAGAATTTAAAAGTATGTGCAGATTTTAAGATTTTAGGGCCCTCACACAGATTCCTAAATTCGTTGAAAAGCAGTTCAGGGACCACAGCACCCTCATGAGGGTTACCAGCAGATTAGTTGGCAGTAATGTCCCCAAACAATCCCTTCTATTTGGACCAGCTTGAGAACTCTCTTATTTCTCAGCAATGAGGCTTCCTACCTGGCTGAGGTATTTGGGCCCTTGTGGATCATCAAGGTTTACAGCTATGAGTTCCAGGTGAGGCTCAAGAGCTCAGTATCCCCATCATCCCTCCCCCAAAACACACAGACAGACACATCCTACCAACCTCTACCCAGAATGCTCAGATTCTAGCTGCTGTTACCTTTTATTGAGTACCCAAAATGTGCTAAGCACTGTGCTAGATACTTTACATACATATCTCATTTAATTTAATCCTCACAACAACCCTGTGAGGTAGGTATTTGCTCCATTTTACAAATGGAGAAACTGAGGCACAAAAGATTAAACATCTTACCAAAGTTTGCATAGCCATTTAATATGCCAGAGCTATAATTTGAACCCAGATATGCCTCCATTTCTTACACTAGACCAATTTTTCAAAGGGAAATTTCCTAGATTAACACCCTCATTCATTCCAAAACATGCTGCCTTTTGTTTTCCAGAAACCCTCACTCTGTTTCTGCTGCCCAGAAACAGTGGAGCCAGGGGATGGTGAGTGTCAAGTGAGGAATCCTAATAAATGATAGAAATCAAAGAGCCCTACAGAACCTTCCTTAAGTAGCTGGGGGAGGAGGGAAGAGGTATTCCAGCAGCACTGCTTGCCAGCAGCTCTTCCTTCTCTGCAGGGCAAACAGATGGGGCAACCCGGCCAACTGACCAAGAGACCCCTCAAGCACCACCGCAAGCCCAGCATCTTTCCTACAGCTATTCTGCCTTCCACTTCGTCTTCTTCCTTGCTTCACTCTACGTCATGGTTACCCTTACCAACTGGTTCAGGTAGGATGGAGATGGGCTGGAGATACTCTCCTGAAAACCTAGCTATTTTAAGGAAAGGACAATTCAAGGCCATTCCAAAGGTTCTGAGGAGACATACATAGGTCTTCCATGATCTGAGGGGAGGTAGATCTAAAGGCTAGGGCCCTGAATATCTTTAACAACAGTCTTTGGTTCCACAGCTATGAGGGAGCAGAACTGGAAAAGACCTTCACCAAGGGTAGCTGGGCCACATTCTGGGTCAAGGTTGCCTCATGCTGGGCCTGTGTACTACTCTATTTGGGCCTGCTACTGGCACCACTCTGTTGGACCCCAACCCAGGACCCCAGGCCCCGGCTTACCTTCAGGAAACACTACCATATGGCATCAGTATTACCAGATAACAGCCTCCAGTCTAAGTCCTTTTAACAAAAAGGGATTCCCTTCAGATTATATCTCTAGTCTTGGCTCAGGGGAGCTGACCAGTCCAGCTCAGTACCCTCAGGATCACAAATGGAGTTACTGACCTCTAGGCTTAAGTTAATACTATGTCAGAATTGGAAGAAGTGTTCATACACACCCTAATGCCCTGGGCAGAGTTTCTGACTCACTAGAGCTACCGTTATGTCTTCACACCAGTTCAAGATCCTAACTCCCAAATCAGCAGCTGCAGGAACCACTGCTAATCCCAGCAGACAGTGCGGCACCAGCCCTTTCCTGGTTCCTGAGCTTGGGGTGGGGGTGGGAGTGGGGGTACAGAGACCAACAAGGACTGAAGACTTGGATCTGCCCTTGGAGATAAAAAGAAAAATAAGCAGTTCAACCCTGGGCACAGGAGTACAAGAAGCCCAGAACATACCAGGGCCAAGAAAGAAAGGAGCACAAAGGCTACCCCAGGTTTTAACCCTGATCGTGAGGTCAAGGGAAGAAGACAAAAACCACCCTCATTCCACGAGGAATGACAGAACAGAAGAGAATGTGAACACTTGAGAGCAGCTGACTACGGGAAGTCGGTAAGCAGCAGGATTTTTTTGGCCAACTTTCAAGCAGTCGAACAAACTGAGGAAGAATGAGGAAGAGAGGCATAAACTTAGGTCTTGGAATCTTCCCACTTAGGCCCTTAACTCCATCCTTGGGATGGTGTTCAAGGTCTGGGTGGGGAACAAAACAACAACAAAAAAATTTTTAATTAAAAATCACAGAAAAGAAGTCTCTATAGTTTTTAGAGGATTTCTCTACCATATAACCGGAATACTTGTCTAGTTGTCATAGTAAAATAAAGGCTTCTTCTGTGATATTTTACTTATTGAATCTACATATCCACAATTCTTAAAAGAGCTCTCCCTTTTTGGTGGGAAAGGGCAGTCATTCCTCCATCCCCATATCCCCCCAAATCCCCAGTCAAACCAGGCGCTCAAGGAATTACAAAGCTACTTTTAATACTTTGGGTGTGCCCCACAGGAATAAAAAACACTGGGAAGGGGTAACCCCCTCACCCCCAGGAGTGGCCCAGGGGGAGAGAAGCTACCTGAGGGTAAGGAAGCACAAAAGGGACCCGCTGCAGACTCAGGGCAAAGGGAATGCCATCGGTGCTGGGACCTGTGAGCACTACAGGAGGAAACGCGAGCATGGTGGGACTGGCTCCAGGCACACAGGCGAAGGGCAAGAGGGTTGGACACGAAGCCACAAAGCTACTTGGGTTCCTCCTTCTTCTCGTTTGCCTTTTTCTGCTTCTGCTGCATGATCTCCGAGTCCCTGGGGGTAGAGATGATGGGGCACTGGGAGGTACCAGAGGGCAAAAAGGACAAGATGCAGGGGATGAAGGGCACAAAGGATAAGATGGAATTGGATGGGACAAAGTTCAGCATGTGGCTGCTGTATTCCCACCCTAGGAGAACAAGAGAAATAGAGCTGAGGCTCAAAAGGCAATCAGTCTCCATCTGGCTGTTGCCCAAAGGGTCAGAAGTCTGGCCACACAGGCCCAAGGTGCTCTATTCTGTGCTGAGTACCACACCCAGCAACACCAGTGAGAAAGTTGGGAAAAGGGAGGAGAAACTAACAGCAAGGAGGGACAAAACTGTCATAACCACAACTGTGCTTGAAATGTGAAGCTCCCTGCCCTTGCCCTTAAGGTCACCCAGGGGCACTCAAAAAATGAGACTTAGGAAAGTCTTCTACCCCAGTCCCTTCCTGCAAGGCTGTGAACTAACAATTTGGAGGGTGGGGAGGAAATAAAACCCTAGAGGAAGCAATAACGCTCTGCCTCTCACGCCTAGTCCAGATTCAAGTCCTAAGGTAGCTCTTTTTCCTGATATAACCCGTTTCCCCCAGGTCTCCCCTATCCCCTCCCCTCCCTGGGGCTACCTCTGCTTGCGGGCGGCAGCCGAAAGCCCGTCATCTCGGCGCTTTCCCTTAACCGAGTCGCTCTGCTTTTTCATATTCTTCTGGCGGGCGAGCTCACGCTGGTTACCGCCTAAGGAAAGAAGGTAAAAAGTGAGACGCCGGGACTGTTCTGGACACACACTCTTTGCCTCCATCCCGGGCAAGAAGGATCCAACACTGCATCCCCGGACCTCGGCACCGACCCATTTCGGGGCCTCGGCTGCTGGGGGATGGGGAAGGAAGGTGCCACGGGGCAGGTCAAACTGCAGGGAGTGAGGACGGTCAGTCCGAGGAGCCTGCGGGAGGCGTGTTTTGAGTTTTGAGGGTGGCGTAGGGGCCCACACGGATGGTGGGTTTGGGTCCGTGGGGGATGGGCTGGTGTCAGGAGTAGGAGGCTCCGGGGCCTATCACGCCAACATAAGGCTTCACAGACAGCGGAAGGTCAGGGAGGGCCGATTCCTAACGAAAGGGCGGAGGGGTGGTCTCGAGAAGTGGCGGTGGGCAAAGGGTTCGATTCCGGGCTCCAAGCCTGAGAGCAGCTAAAGAACGCTCCCGGAGAAGGGCCTCGCTGGGCAGCTCAGGGGAAGTCAAGGCCGACGATTCTGCCGACAAGTATAGAACGAACGGAAATAAAAGGGCAAAAGGAAAGGGGCTCGGTGCTCACGGGTCATGGCGACGGCAGCGGCTCGGCCTGCCTCCGTTGCGTCCCCTCGTTCTGTCCGACGTTGCAGGCCCCGCCCCCTTCTCGCAACGTAACCAAGTCGTCCCTTTCCTCCCCGCCCCTTCACGCCCTGACGCCGACTCCCATTGGGCAGGAAAAAACACGTGGAGCCCAGGCCACGCGCGAGCCGGGGCGGATAAGAAGCGGAGGTCCGCAGGCGGAGCGCGCAGCGTGGGGCGGGGTTTCCCGGGCGAAGCGCTGGACCGGGCACGGAGAAACTAGGCCGGGTCACGTGGGTAGGGTGGGGGTGGAGGGGTGCGGCTGGCGATGTGGCGCTCCCGCGAGCCAGAGCACGTGACCGGACAAAGTGACCTAATGCGGGGACAGTTTGAGGTAATGACAAACTTGCGGTGAAGGAATGTTAAGAAACGAAGGGAAGGGCGGGGTTTCGTGGAGTCTAGGTGGTTCGTCTAGCTCTGAGGTATCAGGGTTCTGCAACTGAACTTGGTCCTGTTACTGAGGACATTTTTCCTCCCCCCCGGTCACTTATTTGTACATTTGGGTTCACCGCGCTAGAAGAACACATAACAAAACACAATTGGGAAATCCCATCCCAACCACATTTATCCCCCTCCTAAAAACCTGCAGGGTAGAAAACCTCAGCCACATCCATTATGTTCTAAAACTTTGGTCCTGCTTATTTTACCACAGAATTTTTTTTTCCAATGCTGGGAATTGAATACTGGGCTCCTGTGTTCACACGTTGTACCACAGAGTTACACTTCCAGCTTACTGAAAGAAACTTTCAACGTGAAGATGAAGTATCTTGGAATTTCGGAAGACCCAAAATCACAAACTACAGTGTTGCATTAGGGGATACACAGACAGTATCCATATTTCCTCTGGTTTTTAAGACAGTTGATCAGAACTGGAAGCTAAAAGTAATCTCCTCATTCTTAGTTCCTACAAGACTCCTTACCACACCTGGAAAGTTCACTGGATAAAGGAAAAATGCTTAAGAACGTAGGAAAGGAGTGGTTGTAAACTTTGATTCTCCGCAACTAGCACCCACAGCAGAACTGAGTTGAAGCTAGAACTTTATACTGGCTTCCCCCTTACTATAGGACTGATGGGAGGCACGGTTAACCCTCAGTCAGTACCATCAATTTCTTTTATACCCAAGTATCACCTGACCTACTTTTTGTTATTAATATTTGTGTATTGATAAGTCTTTAATAAAGAATAAAAATGAAACTTCATATTCCTATAGTAAATTTTAAATGAATGTCACTTCCCAACAAAAGAAACTATATAACAAATGCAATAAAAATGAAATATATTATTTAGATCAAAATAATGTCATTGTCTAGGCTGGGGATATAGCTCAGTGGTAGAGTGCTTGCCTAGGTGTGAGGCACTGGGTTCGATCCTCAGCACCACATACAATCAAAGATGTTGTGTCCGCCAAGAACTAAAAAATAAATATTAAAAAAATTCTCTCTCACTCTCTCTTTAAAAAAAAAAAAGTCATTGTCAAACATTCTGAATCTGGAGCCTGCCTTTTTTTTTTTTTTTTTTTAAAGACAAGATCTTGCTAAATTGCTGAGACCCACCTTGAACCTGCAACCTTCTGCCTCAGCTGCTGGGATTACTGATATGCACCATGCCCAGCTCCTCTTCCTTTTTCAGGTCCTTCTGCTCCTGTGGTAGCTAGTCTCTGAGATGACTCCCAGTGATCTCTTCCTTGTGATAGTCACACTCTTGTGTAGTATCCTCCCACCCTGAGGTGGTCTACATAACTGATAGAATATGTCGAAAGGAATGGTGTTTCAATTCCAATGCTAGATCATAAAAGATATTATGGCTTCTGCTCTACTCTTTCTCTTTAATCTCTGGTTCTCAGGACAGCCAGCTGACATGTCATGATGTTCTTCCCAGTGATGAAGAACTGAGGCCTCAAATCACTAGCTTTGTGGGGAGAAACTAAGGCCTCTTGCTGATATACACATGCGCGAACTTGGAAGTGGATTCTCTAGCCCCAGGCAAACTTTAGATGGCTGCAACCTCATGTGAGGACCCCCATGTGCCAGAATCACCCAGTAGGCCTCTTCTGAGTTCCTAATCCACAAAAAATGTGGTATAATAAAATTTGGTAACCTTAAACACTAAGTTTTGTTATTTTTATGGAGCAATAGATAAATAACATGCCTTTCTATCCATGACTTAATCTACTCCCTCAAAGACCTCAGAGAAAGATTCAGACTTTGATTAAAAAGACCAGTCCACCACCACCCCCAGTCTCTATTTTTTCCCTTTTCTCAAACTATAGTAATAAGGGGTTACAACAAAAACGTGGAGGTGTTTCTCTTTTCCCCACTTTGCTCAAGCAATGGCTTTACCACACTCATGCCCAGTTCAGGGGCCTAGTTTTTGGCTACCTAAAAGAACATGGGGAGAAAGAAGGAAAAACTAAACTGTTTGAAATCTCTGCACTGTAGGGAGGCTAAACTGAAGGAATTATAGGAGACCCTGGAAAACTATAGGACACAGGTCTTGAAGGCAGAGATCTTAAAGCTTAGAAAAAAAGTTAGATGGGTTGGAATGACAGGAAAGAACCATTAGAGACATATACTCCAGAATGAGGTGAGAGCAAATACCTGCTTTTGAACTCAGTATCTGTGGAGCCTGGAGTGGTGGCAAACACCTGTGATCCTCTCTTAGGAGGCTGAGGCAGGAAAATAGCTTAGCTCAGGAGTTCAAGGCTAGTCTTAGCAACATAATAAAACTTCATCTTGGGGGCTGGAGTTGTGGCTCAGCAGTAGAGTGAGTGCTTGTCTAGCATGTGTGAGGCACTGGGTTTGATTCTTAGCACCACATATAAATAAATAAATAGAAGGTCCATCAACAACTAAAAAAAAAAATTTTTTTTAAAAGACTTCATCTCAGGGACTGGGGTTGTGGCTCAGTGGTAACGCGCTTGCCTAGCATGCATGAGCACTGGGTTCGATTCTCAGCACCACATACAAATAAATAAAATAAAGGTCCATGAACAACTAAAAAAATATTTTAAAAAAAGACTTCATCTCAATAATAAATAAATACCTAGGGTGACTCCCCACTATAGTGAAGGCCACAGCTGACATGTAGCAGAGC